ATTGGGAATCCTATGCATTTTTGAATGGGAGTTGAAAACTTCTTTAAGAAGGTAGACAAGCTTTTTATCGTCTTGGACATTCATGGTACCTTTAAACTTAAGTAAGGTATGATTTTAAACCTAAGAGAGGTATATTACCATGAATTTAAGGGGTTTTGAACTCTTGATATCTATTAGTTGTACTTTAAAGGTTATTTCTCCTTTTTGTGTTTGGGTATCTTTATACTTGGACGAGATAAGCCTTTATCTTTGTATGAAGCAATAATTTTAATTTTTGAAGAATGACACTTTGATTTATAGGAAGGTTTATGGTGCTTTGAGACCTAGACAAAATGTTTCTTTATACCCGAGCAAGGTAGTAATGATAATTTTTTTAACCTTGATAACTTACTCATTGTCGCTCGCATCATCGAGAAATCTTTATATATACTTTGAGGTGACTAGTGTGCCTTCGTTCTTTGGTAGAGTATTGATATAAGCCTTCATAAAATGAATTTTTTTTTAATTTAAAAGGAGTATGATGCATTTAGATTCGGGGAAGGTATGCTTCATACCCGAGCAATATAATAACCTTGACCTTTTACAATCTTAAAAACTTATGCTTTGTCAATAATATTGTTAAGGACACGTTCTCTCTCTATGTGTGTGTGTGTGTGTTTCGATGATCGAGGTGTCTTTGTTCTTAGGCAAAGTGAAGATCCGAGCCGATAAGGTAGTGTTTTTAGTTTCGAGTAAAATGCTTAGTGCCTTTAGACCTAGTGCAATGGGTACTTTTATACCTAAGCAAAATAATAACCATCGCTTTTAAAAATCATAAGAACTTACTCCTCTCCGATTATGTTGTTGAATAACCCTTTTATTCTTATATAATACCCGAAGTTTTTTATGAAACGTAAAGTTTCGAGTATAACTTTGTGGATATGCACCGATCCGTAAATTTTTTAAGAAATTCATTACTCTTGGTTGTACTTTTATAAATTTATATTTTTTATACATAAAAGATTTACCACTAAAGTACTTTGGCTTGTCTAGAAAATCTAGATTGATATTTCTTTATGTCTTCAAGTCCTTGTCATTTTTCATTTGATCCTTTTATTGTCCACTCTTTAGTCTTTTCATGTTAAAAGCAAGGCATCTTTGAGTGATGACTCGGCTTCTTTTGATTGTAATTGTTTCCTTAAAAGTTGGAAACTTTAGAGCCACATAGTGAGTATTAATAGTAGTATTGATCTCGGAGAAGAATGGTCTTCTAAATATAGCGTTGTATGCTAAATTTATTTCTATGACCATAAAAAGAAGGTTTCTCGCTACAATCTAAAAGAGATGCCTATGATCACCGAAACTTGAATTACTCTATTCATGAGTACTTGTTCTTCTTCTATCCCCTTCAAATGGGTGTGACTAGTTACAGCTTTGAAGAGTCCATCTTTATTTCGTCAAAAGCCTCATTTTACAAAAAGTTGATAATATTATCATTAATCTATTAGAACATGATGGGTTTTGTAATTAAAGACCATCATTGAAATGACTAAGATGTCATTTTAGGGGAATATTATCCCATTCGAGTTTGTAAAAGTGAAAATGATGAGTTCGTGCCAATATGTAAGGTTTTTCGTAATGTCGAACCGAGAGAGCTATCATCTTCTCTTATTGGACTCTTTAGTCAACTATCCACTCAAAATCACATTGATCCGAGAGACATCCTCCTCTTAGAGGTTGTGTTTAGTGTTGCCCCGACTTGGATTTAGCCCTTCTATCTTGATAAATCATTTGAGGTACCTCTATTTTTAACCTTTTTATTTTTTTTTCAAAAAATAGCAATTCTCAATGTTATGAATGATGTTCGGTGATAGAGGTAATAGCTCTTTTGACTATAGAGATGTGGGAGGCCCTTTATCGAATAGGACGGTTAACGTATTCTTTCTTCTATATGGTAAAACATACTTATGTTTGAAAGATATTCGGGAGATCTTTTTGGAGTTTTGAAAAGAAAATGGTTTGTTCATAAGTCTTTTTGGATTCTTTTTGGATTGGAGCGATTTAGTAGAGATTTCTCCATTTTTAGTTTCTTCATCTTTTTTTTTTAAGCGCTAGTGAGCTTGTATGTGATGCATTGTTTCCTTACTCGAATATAGCCCTCTATTAATTTCTTAACTTAATAGATGTTTTTCGTCCGGGAGAACATAGATTTTTCTTTACATAATAAAGCCATTAACTTTATCTACGAGGGGCTTTAGTAGATATGCATTCTAGCAACTTATCAACCTTCAACATTTCCTCATGAAGTAAACGAGGTAAGCCCAAATGCTCTTTTCTTTTTCTTAAAGAGACTAAGAACAGTTCTCAAAAGCTTCTTTCATTAGGAATACTAGTGGAGAAACAAGCTACCGACTTGGAGCATAAATCTTCAAAATTGAGAATCGACTCAAAGTCTAAATTATTATACTACTTCCTAAAAAATAATAAAAAGTACTTTGCATATAGAGTCTAAACTCCTTACGAGTAGCTTTATATTTCCTTGGATATTTTAAACACATTTTTAAGGGTCCATTGTGCCATCATATAAGTTAAACTTATCTTACCAAGAGAGAATTCTCTATGGAGTTTGGTGTTTAAAATACAATAAACAAGTTAAGAGGATTAAAGTTTATGACTATAGTGATCCGACTTGAACCGAGTGGTAATCATAAGTCGTTTATTTACCCACCGATGTTTAGGTTCAAGACTCATCAAAGTAGTTTATGAGGAGGAAGAGTTGTTTTTGTGCTAGTCTTTGAGGTTGTTTTAGGTAGTGTTATGTTTGGTCTTGGCATTATGATGACATTTGATTTTGTTGTCTTTTTTTTTTTGTTTTCTCTTTAAGAGTTTTATAATGATCGGTTCTTTACCGTAACGATGAGAATAACCTTTCTAGGATTGAGAAATGATAATTTTTTTCTCTCATCCTCTTATTCACTATACCTAATTGTATTTTCTTTCACCGATTGTTTGGATGGCCTATTTAGGCACAAAGAGTTTGTGTGTGGTAGAAATATTAGTAGGGTAAACGTTTTTAGAAGTGGTGTACGTTGAGATACTTGTTATGTTTGAAGTGTTTGTAAGAGACTAGCTATAGACTTTATATGCTATTAGGTTAATATGTAGGCCTTTGTAAACAATTTAACACGTCGTTGTAGTTGGAGTAGGTCAATTGGTGAGGCACTAGGATTGGCAAAGTTGAACGACATTGATTGTGATAGAGTTTCTTGATTATCATCAATGAAGAAGCTCAAAGATGAAAATATAAAGTGGTTTGAGATTGACTTTTTGCTTTATCCCTCACGGATAACGCCACCGATGAGGTCATGATCCTCAAATTAATATTGATGGTTGGATGGTTTCGATCTCTATTGATCCCGCGGTTTAAAATGATTCGTCATATAGGATATCAATAGCAAATACGTACAAAACAAATTCTTCTCTAGTGTTTGGAAGATCATCTAATTGTTAACTTAATGTATGGAAAAAGATGTTTGGCTTAACTAGGCTTAATTGCATTTGATCTTAGTAGGCTTGATTGTCTTTTTGGCTTTTAGTAGGACTATATGTGTGATATTATACCAATTATAAAGCTCAAGAGACAGGACCTGTAACATATGAATTGTTAACTTCTATATAGAAAGAATGATCAACTTGCATCAAGAAGAGGATAATAAGGTATTTTCCTTATGTGTCACGGATCTATCTACCAATTGAGGATCTCTTTAGATAAATCTTTATATTATTGGTGCATGTGCAATCATGTTTGACAACGATACCATGTACGCTCCTATAAGCCATACCTTCTTTAAATGCTTGTCCTTTGCATCTAGTCCGAGGAGGGGGAAAGAGTGTTCCATTCGGGATGCTAGATCGTGTTGTTTGTACGAAATTTGTCTGGCCATGGAGTCCCCCATTATATTGTAGAGCGAGTATATATGTATATATATCCAAAGAGTAAAAGATATATATATGATATAATATTAAAAGAGATCCTAACCGCTGTGATTGGCAAGCTTCACATTTTTTCTCAAAATGAAAGGTCTTCAGATGTTTTATTCTGTGGGGCTTACTCCAAAACCAAATGCAGAGAAGGTGGATCCATCCTAATTCCTAACAGTGCGTAGAAGACAATGTGTACGACACCGAAATTGTTTTTGCTTTATAGGCTAGGGCAGGGGACAACCAAGTTTTCTGCCCATGTGAGTTATTCCCTTCATGACCAACCTCATTTTGCTGTCCACGTGAGAGATATATAAGATTATTCCATAACCTTTTTTTGTCCTATACTCCGGCTACACCGCACCCATCGTTTCCATGGTGATGGAAGTTTTCACTTTGAAGCAAGAATTGACTACCTGCGTTACGATGTTGACATAAAAATATACAGCATCTGAAAGACAGTTCTAAGCACCTTTGATACGCATCTTTAATCAACATAGAGATGTAAAATCAACACACGCACAGGCTCATGTGGACCAGACTGAGGGTTCATGTGGACCACCCTGTCTAATTTGTTTGGTCCACATGAACCAGTTCGTCTAATAATTTCTCAAAATGTTCCATACTTTTAGTTAATGATCAGAAAAGTAAAAATAATAGTACTCCATAGCTTTAGTTATGAATTTCATTTCCTTTATTAGCGTCCAGCAAAAGGGGAATGTGACCAAAAAAGAATAACAAGAAATGGGCAAATTCTCATACATTAGGGTGACTAATATTCTTTTCTCATACAACCCAGTAACTCAGTTATTCCTTCTCGAAACCAGAAGTTAAGACGTTATAGCAACATTTGTTTAATAAATGATAAGAGTCTCCTTGTAACTTCCAAATACAACGGCACGCTTGACCTAGCTGCAGTACAACACTAATCTAACAACTGAACAGACATTCCGGCAAATTGCAGACTCAAGAAATTTGAAAAAATAAAAGGCTTGTGCCAAGCAGGTAAGCATTGCACCTGCTAATCTTTAATAATTCTCTCACTTGGTGTAGAGAACATCTTCCCATGGGTGACGGTATAGAGGCTGTTTCAATCTCTTCTGGTCAAAGGTGTGCCTGAAACAAAAATTAATTGTATGGTCAGATGCAACATTTATGCATGTAGCGCATACGGTAGCACATATTTGCATTAGAACAAGGTAGTCTATGCCACTAATCCATGCAGGGTCCTTTGACCCACCACTGAACCCTTTTCTTAACAATAGCCAGGCATTTGCTACTACAACTAGACACCCCAAGCACATTACACTGTGCTCTTTTTTGTCCCAATTAAGTCATATCCTTCAAGCAGCCATATAACCATTAAATTCTACGATGGGACTAAAGGGAGTTCAGCTTTTAGAAGCACTGTAATTAAAGTTTAATTATGTCGGTAATCTGACTGTCAATGTGTCAAGATCAAGGATTGATGAAACCTAACGTGAAGCATAAGAAAGTCCAAAAGAAGAATGTGAAAAGAAAACTTTGAAGTGGAATCCAACTCACCCAATCAAACCAATGGAACGTGCCAACACAAAGAGTCCATTCAAATAGCCAATCCCAACAATCTCATCAATCTCTGGTTTAGTGAACATTCCACTGCCTGCAAGCAGATCCAAGAAAAGGGACCCAATTGCACCATCGACGTTAAGGACCAAGTTATTGGCTTTTGAAAGAGTGTAGGTTTCGACTTGAACAGCATACTCCATATATTTTACAGAAGGGAAATGTGTTCGAGCAAACCGCTGTAGAAGCTCCACTCTTTTATCCCTGTTGTCCCCTCTCTTGATCCTTTTCCAAAGAAAGCAAAAAAGAATTTTCACCCCTTAGATTAGCAATGGCAACCAATAAAAGCAATTAAGCTGTGCGTAATTCTGGAAAACTACCATACCTGTGCCCAATACCGGGAACACGAATTCCTTTCTTCTTCATGTCTTCAACAAACTCATAGGGTGTTAGACCCTGACAAGACATAGCACATAAATTAATCTGTCCCTACAAACTATCAGATGCATGGGAGTCCAATTTCAAATGTACTTGCAAAATTTATTAAACCTTACCCTGTCATAAGCATCCTTAAAGTACCGAGCTGCATCATCAATGGCACCACCAAATCGGGGACCAATTGTGAGCAAACCTGTCTCAGGAGATCATGATTCAGTTTTCTTTCGGATAATATACACTCAGAAACCCTTACCAGCAATTTAAGTGGAGAGGATTTCACAAAAGAAACGAAAGATAATCATATCATGGCCACTGTGTACCTGAGACAAGGCTAGAAACTAGGTCCTTTCCTGCCCTTGCAGTTACTATACTGTTGTGAGCACCAGAGACACAGGGACCATGGTCGGCGCACAACATGATGCATATCTGATTGAGGTCATATGCATCAGTGAATAAAGCAGCTAGACCAAAAATTGCTTATAAATGCATGTCAAATCCTAAATGAAAATAAAAAAGGCAGGAAGAGCTCTATTGAACTTAAAGCTCAGCATAACCAGTTAACCATGTAAAGGAAGGTCAAACAAATTTTCAAAACTTATGAGAATCATACCTCGATAAAATGGGTACAGTAACGTGGAAGGCTGCGCTTGAACCATAAAAGAGAGATGACATCACCAACACCATAACCCTGTTCAACAATGGAAGACATTGGCACGCCAGCATAGCATGGTTCCTCACCTGCAAAATTGGATTAAAATAGAGTTCAGCGATAAGCATTCAAATCAACTAGCACCTTAATAGTAACTCAGGACACATAGGTAAAAGTACCTCTGTCATCAGAGATGGTAGAAATAATATGAGTTGGTGCCCGGACTTTTCCACTCTTGATTGCAATGTTAAGATCCTCCGGGATTTGTGGAGGCGTAAACTCCTTTACAGGTGTAGTCTTCCCTTCTTCAACCTAGAAGGAAATGACCAGATGGCATTCTTAAAGCAGGTCAAGCACCTTTAATAAACTTGAGTGTCCAGTTTTTTGGTTTAAAATTTACTCTTTTTTTTAACTAAGATTGGAAAGTTGCACAGGGACAAAAGATCACAGCATATATAAACTAACCAGTTTCTCAAATGTTTCCTTAATTGCAGTCTCAAAAGATTCGTATGAAGTGGGAACAACAGCTCCGGCATCTTTTAGTGCTTGATTTTTTGCTTGAGCAGACTCCATCTCACCACCACTTTTAGCACCCTGATTTACAACGTCACAAGGGAGATTCAGAATAGTGACTCTTGTACCACAATGGAAACTATGGTTTAAAACAGAAAGTGCAATATAGTTGGGCAACCACTTACAGCATGACCAAATTGTACTTCTGATTTAAAGAGCGTCGCACAAGTTCCACTGACCCAAGCAACCACTGGTTTGTTTACCTTTCCCTGCTTTAGGGCTTCAACGAGAGAATACTCATCCCGTCCACCAAGTTCCCCAAGTACAACCATCATTTTAACCTGTGTTAAGTCATAAGATCAAATAGGAGAAGAAGGCACAAAAATATATGAGAAGGCACCCAATATGATAATATGCAGCAATCTGAAGTGTAGATTGCTAAATAAGCAAATGGTCAAAGCAGAGAGTTGCATGGGCAAAATAGCAAGGTACAAATCTCCCATCAAACAGTGTACAAAGCAAAATTTAACTTTATGAATGACCACATATAAATTGGCACTGGATATATTGCCGGCTTTGTCAACAAGAGAGAAACTAAAAGCACACACTTGTGCTTAAGTGTAAATGAATGGGAAGAATGATATACCTGTGGGATGTTGTTAAACCGCAGAACATGATCAGAAAGAGTAGATCCTGGGAACACATCACCTCCAATTGCAATACCTAAAGTATTTCCAAAAATAATGCTGATTTAATTCCAATTCAAATCCGCAGGCATTAGAAAAGCCATAAAGACAAACCCAAAAAAGTAGCTAGCATGTGTAATTACCTTCATAAATTCCATCGGTTACACGGGCAATTGTGTTGTATAGTTCATTAGACATGCCACCCTGCAATAGGAAAAGAAGCATTATCCCAGAACTTTCAACATACAACACTGGTAGTGAAAGGAGATCGATGGACCAAGAAACCATCAGTTGGCAAGTCTACCGAAAACAATTAGAATGACATTCCTTTCAATTGCAGAATTACAGCTCTTTTATTGTTGATGAATTCCAGGTCATACATGTATAACGACCAAATGTTACTTGATCTTTAATCAACAAACATGCTGAAAAGAAAGAGGAGCAATGGAATGAATACATACAGATTTGGAGACAAAGCCAACAGAGCCAGGCCGGTATAGCTTGCAAGCAATTATGTTATCAATTGTTCCAGCAGTGTCACCTATCTTGAATGCTCCAGCTTGAATGCCTCCAACAGTGGCTGGGCCAATGACAACCTGGAACACCAGCAGCACTAATATTAGCACAAACTTAAACCAACCAGGTAATGAATACTCAAGGACCCAAAGATCAGTACAATTCAAATAAAAGTGCATCATTTGTTCTCACCTTATTGTTAGCCCGAGCATATGCAATCAATTGCTTGGTGTCTGCCTCAGGAACACCCTCAGCTATGATAGCCACAACTCGAACAGTTGGCTGCTTCAGAGCAGCCATGGATGAAGCAGCCGCACTGCAAACAATTAAGCAGATGATGACTACACAGTACAAACAAAAACATGCAACCGCTGATTGTACTAATTAAAGAAATACAAACCTTCTGAATGATGCAAAGTTGATAAACACATCGGCAGTTGGGTGAGCAGCACAAGCTGCCTCGACGCTGCAAACAAAAATAATGAAATAAATGTGAGAAAATAGACCTCAGAAAAAATAAATGTTCAGAATCTAACAACTAGCAAAGTTTTAAAATATGTATAAGACAGATTACTTATATTGATTACTGAGTACTTAGCATATGGAAGCCATACATATTTGGCTTTGACTTGCAAGACAGTCAACCAAAGTCATTTGACTAATTCAATGTCAATATTTGATTTATAAATTCATCAACAACTGTTTATGACCACAAAATCAACCATCCCTGGTACACATTCAACAATTAATGATTTAATCAAATTTGAGTCAGACCTCCAAAGTCTTGTGGTCAATTTCGATGTTCTAATGAACCATCATTCAGGAGAGAAAAAGGCAATATAAGTTAGATGTAATCTAAATAAGAATCACGATCTAGTATCATAAACTACTAGACCTAATCAAATCGAATCAAATGGACTGTTTTCAAACACAACTAGTAACCATTTCAAAACTGGTACATGAATCACAAAGTGACTCGTGAAACTAGAAACAAAACCAGGACATGATCAACTTTCAACAATTCATAATGCAATCATATTTGAGTTGACCTAAGCCTTGTCATCAACGAGTTGATGTTCTGATGAACCAGCACACCAGAGGGAAAAATATCATAAGATTGAAATGTAATCTTGACATGGATCGCGATCTAGTATCATGCACTACTCAACCTCACCAAATCAAACCAAATTGATTGTTTTCGCACCATAACTAATAAACCCTTCCAAAATCGATAACGGGATAAACAAAATCATGTATGGCTCGTAAATCAGGGAAGAAAAAAAACAAGTGAAAGGACGTACGTCGAATGCACAGGGATTGCAATTTCCTCTTGGCCGAAAAAGAGTTTCTGAAATCCCTCAGCACCAGGGTTAATAATTCCAGCTACAGACGGTAATTCCCTCCCTATATGCACAACAACAGGTAAATTGAAAATTGAACATCACATCCAAAACGCTCAATAATCCAAAACAAATATATATAGAAAACATACCACAGAGAAAATCAAAATCAAGCATGCGTTGAATAGGCAGCTGCTTATAATTGTAAAACAAAGCTTGTGTAGTTCGAGAGAAGAGTTGTCCTGTCGACATATTGTAGAAAGCTCAAACTGGCCTGTTATCAAAAAAAAAAAAAAAATCCCTCAGTTTATAAATATTAACAGAATGAAGCAAAATGTTTTTAATTGCTCGTTTAATGACGCAATTAACAACAACAAAACGGTAAATCCATGTTTTACCAAATGCAGATCTAAAACGTTAAACAAGTAACCATCACACCTAACTTTAAAACAACCGAACACCAAACTAAACCAACCTAACAAACAGATCCTTAACAAATGAGAGAAAAGTATCAAAACGAAATGTCGTTTACAGAATCTCTTCCGTTCCCAAACAACACCTTTTGGATCTCTTTTAGTCCAAACGACACAAATTTATATAAATAAACCTTTCAAATGTTTTAGCTAAAAACAACAAAACGAAGTATAAAAACGTATTTTCGATGTAAACGAGGAACAATTGTAATTAAATAAAACAAACAATAAAGGACAGAGGGGAAAACACGAAATGGGATCGAAATGAAGAGAGAAGCAGATCTGATAAAGAAACTAGAGTAATTTGTTTTGACTCTGCTACTAGTCAAAAGTGGGATCTAACTAACCAGATATGGACTTTACACCTGTTTACGTTTTTATGCTCTGGCCTCGTAAAATTCGCTGATTTGAAGTGCAAGAGAGCGAGAGAGAGAGAGAGAGAGAGAGAGAGAGAGAGAGAGGGAGGGAGGGAGGGAAATGAATTGGAATATTACAGGAAATTTGGAGAGGAAGACCGAGTGTTTATATAGGGAGGAAGAGGGGGTAGAGTGGAAATGGGGGGAAGATGGGTCACGTGGCGGTATTTTATCATCTAAGGTAGTTGGTTAGCTCACAGACTATATCCTCTATTTATGACTTAATATGTGCTAGTAAACATTGTTATTCTTCATATTTTAAGTACCATGCCAAAATGTTGCTATTTTTTGAAATTTTTTATTTAGTGTTGGTGTCTTCGTTGAACGTTGAGAGAGAAACGGAAGGAAGGCTGGGAGTGGTCTTGGTTGGGGGTTAGGTAGGTAGATTCAATTATCCAATTGAGGTAGCTTTACTTGAAAGAAAATTTGGGCTCATTTGCAATGGATTTGGACTTTCTTTTATAATAATACAACAAAAATTATGTATACTGTAGTCCCTCGAGTTTGAATAGTTGGTCAAGTCAGTGTATTTTATTTTTGGTTAAATTGAACATCTTACTTTCGATTTAACGGAAATTGATCTCCTCTATTCAGTTCATGCCACATCTACTCGATCACTAGTAACTTGAAAGTCGATTACTTGATTTGAACAAAAAGAGTTAATCGGTTCAGATTGCTAATACCATTCCAAATATATATATATATATTATTAACTAAACCAGCTAACATCCATTAATTAATTAGTTGAGTTCGTCATTATGGTATAATTATTAATTGATGCCTAGTTTAATCCGCACTTTAAAAGTAATCTCGAATTTTTTATTAAAAATTTAGGTTCAGATCCTTAAAAAAATAATTATTATTTTTATATAAAAATAAATACAGAATAAGAGCAGGATATATATATATATATTTGGTACACTGCAATTAATAATTCATGACTTGTCCTGTCAAAACTTGCTAATTTTCTTGTCCACCGTTGGATCCAGTTTGAGTTGGAGAATTAACTCAATTTGTTTTTATATTTGATATCTCGTTTTCAATCTACCTCTACAAGTCAAATATTCATAATTTGTCCGTTTATATAAATTCTTTCTCTTATACGTCTTTAGGTGAGATATTTTTATTCAAACTAACGAAAACATCATAATGTGAAAAACTCAAAAACTCATCTTAATTTATTAAAAAAATGAACATCCGAAAAATTATTTTTTCTTCAAATATATTTTTTTATTAAAGTTAGTTCAGGTTTGAGTTTTTTACAAGAAAATATTTGCTTCAATTTGAACGAGATGCCTAATGGAATGATGGATTGGAGAAAAGCTTGAAACGACCAATTACCCCTGCATTATGTGGTCTATTATTAACAACAAATTAAAATATAATGATGGATATTAATTGTGATTAAAAAACGAGCGTATATGAATTCTGAAACAAGAAAAAATTAGACTGAAGTGTATATAGGATAAAATTTATAAAAAGAAAATAAAGAGATAAAATTTATAAAGAAAAAGATAGGCTGAGAGAGTCCTATCATATTGTTAAAAAAAATATTTGTATAATTAATTTGATTTTTAATAAAATACTGATTTGTTACTAACCGTTTATCAACTGAAAAAGAAAATACCAACTACAAAATATTTCTGTAGCACATTTAGGCTAAAAAATATTAAATTGATGCTTTGAGGATGTTTTTTCATAGTTTTGACATATTTCATCCAATAGAAGTGAAAAATCATAAAAAAACATACTCTCCACTTACACCACAAACGCATGTACATTTTGAACTGGAAGATTAAAAAGACAATTTGTAATGGAAATAGTTTGTTACCTGGTCCCCAATTGCAGGTTGGAAGGATTGGCTGTCAACCTACGTGCATATATTTCCTTGTCATAGATCTATGGTTTTTGGACATACACAACCGCAAGAATATGCTTTTTTTATGAAAATAATGAATGTAATTATGCAGGACATGTAAATTCATCATTTCTAAAAATATTAAAATTTTATGTTTTTTGTATAGTTTTTTTTTTAAAAAAAAATACTCCATTTATCTTTAAGAAATAATCTATTTTTTTATTTATATTTGTTGTAAAATATTTATGTGGTCAAAACTTTAAGTGATGTAGTTTTCTAAAGTACATCTAATTAATGTTAGCTTTATGTCATGCAAGATTAAATTTGAGATCAACAATACTAAAAAATGATATTTTAAGAGAGTATGAACAAAAGGTGTTGATTAGCAAAATAGTTAACATTTTCAGGGTGTGAAAAAACAAAACAACCTTTTGAATGTTTGAGAAAAACCAAAGAGGATAGCTTCTTTGCAACAAAAAGAGGACCTTGATTCATTCATTTTTTTCCCCAGGTATACTCGTATCTTTATTCCATATTAGAGATAGAATCAATCTTGTTCAAGATGAGAACGACAAATTCTAACACCGCCCAACAAATGTGACTCCATGATTCGAACCTTGTAGATTAGTGCGAAATTCGTCCGAGAACTAGTTCGTTTACCACTAGATCAAGAACTTATTGGTTGATTCATTCGGATATTTAAAAAATACTAAAAAGCAAAAAAAAATTATCGCTCTTTTCCTATTTTTTAATGATGGGAAAATTATTTTAGCCTTTAGATTTTTATTTTTTATTTTTTTATTATTGTGAGGTAGAGATAGGACCCAACTCTTTCTATTATAGCATTAATTAGTTTTTTTACCTACGTTACACTCGAGGTCGTGCAAAACATGTGAAATAATTTGAAAAAAACATTCTAGTTTAATGATTTGCACTATACTATGAGTCGACTAAAATATATTAATTAAAAATAAAAAATCATCCAATTTTTTAATTTTTTAATAAAAATTTAATATTTTACTAATTCTTTCTCATGTTTTTCTTATTTTTTTGTACCAAAAAAAAGATTGATTCTTTTTTTATCAATGAATTCTTAATTAAAAATTTGTAATAATTTTAAAAAATACTATAAAATGTATAACATATCATAATATTAATTTTATAAGACTATGTTCGTTAAAAAAAAATTAACAATTGATGTAAGAACTTGCAAAAAATATACAAATAAAAAAATTATTTTTTATTCTCATTTAATGTCGATAAGAAAATTAGTCTTTGAAAGTTTGTATATTTGATTTTGGTATATTTATTTATAAAGTTATCAACTATAATATTAGAATAAAAATCTATTTTTGAATAATTGGTTGGTTATGTGAAACATAATTTTAATTATTTAATTTTAAAAAATGAATATATAATATAAATGAATAAATATTTTAAACTATATATTTTTAATTGATAGGAAATTTTACGAAAATAATAATGTTTTGAGTTATTCATATTATAATTTTTAAAAGTGTGATAACTAAACTTTATATTATCAAGAATAAAATAATAGATTGTTTTTAACACTTGCATACCCCAAATTTTTTTTAATTTTTTATATTACTCTCTATATCTCAATTGATGGGTTAGAGATTGTATTAATGAAATTACAAAAAGACCAAAGGATTTTTATATAAAACAAAATGTTAATCACTTATTCTTTCCCGACCATCATGTTCCCTTTCTTCTATCGCTCTCCCTACCTTTTTTTTTATTCTCTAAACTCATTGATAATATCAAAAAACACCATCGAAACCACCACAATACAAACAAATTGACACCAAAAAAATTGTCAAAGCCACAACAACAAATCGTCGCATTCCTCTCTATCTTTTGTCCCTAGAAAATCCTCTATGCCAACCTCGATTTACTCCACCATTGTTGTTAGCATCCTTTTTTAACTCTCATTTTTTCATTATTTTTTCAAAAAAAAAAAAAAAGAATTCAAAATTTCAATTTTAAATATTTTTGTTCAATCGATTTGATTTTATCAAGATTTAATTTTTTAAATATTTTTATGATTTTTTATAATTTTTGTGAGTTATTTTTTAGCATAAAAGGTAAAGAGAGAGATAGAGAGAGAGAGAGAAAGAAAAAAGAAAAAGAAGAAAAAAGAATAAATTTTAAAAAAGAGGCATATGGGTGTCGATTGAAATAATTGAAAGAATAGAAACCAAAAAGATTTAATTAGGGGGCACAATTGGAAAAATGAAAACCCGAGTAGCCTTTAATCAAAGATGAATTCGACCAAAATTAAAAGAATTAAAAGAAAGGGGCATAAATAAACTCAATTAGGCGAGGAATTGAAAACAAATAAAAAAGTATCTCTCAACACGAGGTACAAAAATAAAATTTGACCACCCGAGTCCTAAACCTTACATATAAAAACTCACATTTGTTCCCCCATTCTCTTTCTCTTCCTTTTTAGCTGAACGCAAAAAAAAAAAAAAAAAACAAAAA